GTCGCGTAACGCGTAGGCGTAACGCTTTTTCGTGACAGCTCGGCGTCGCGTAACGCGTAGGCGTAACGCTTTTTCGTGACGCCTCGGCGTCGCGTAACGTTTCCACGTAACACTTTTTCGTGACGCGTCGGCGTCGCGTAACACTTTTTCGTGACGCGTCGGCGTCGTGTAACACTTTTTCGTGACGCGTCGCGTAACGCGTCGGCGTCGCGTAACACTTTTTTGTGACGCGTCGCGTAACACGCCGCGTAACGCTTTTTTCTGGCGCGTCACGAAAATGTGCTACGCCGACGCTTTACTGTTAAGGCCCGACCACACTGGCGTGAACTGCGCCGCCGGGCGGCGCCGCCGGGCGGCACCGCCGTCCGGCGTCCCAACGCGAGGAGTCCACATTGGCCTCCGTTTTGCAGGCGGCACGTGACAGCACTGGATCCCGCGATCGAGCCTCCCTTCGGATTTCCCGCTCTTTCGTCGTCTGCTCTTCGTTAGATTCTTCCGTTCCGCACTCGCTGTCTAGACGGTAGGAGTTCATAATGACCTGTAGATCAGCGTGAATGTGATTATCCTAGCCTGCTCGTTGATCTTGCGACGTCGCCGCGCTCTGAAGGGAAGGAGGCGCAGGTTTTGGGTCCGGCCGAGTTGGTTCTACCGAAACACCGAAGGACAGGACAGGTCTGGCGCGCCGCTGGGGCTTTGCTGCCCCGGCGGCGCGCCAGAGATAAAGGCTACTCTCGAAAGTGTCACCAAATCAACACGACATCCGTCACAACAGAGACAACATGCAACAAGTGCCACGGAGAAACTCACTTGTAATTCCGAATTCCCAGCGGTTAGTTTCAAGGAACCGCTCCGTTGGGGAAGGCATCGGGGGGAAATAGGGGGAGCAGACGACACGAAACACGTCCTTCGCTTCGAGACGCGCCGAGGACCGGCTTGAGCGTTGCCATGGCATCGCGACGTCACTATCTACGCCACCTCCCATTGGCTCCTCTCTTCTGCGGCGTGCGGCGTCTAGCTCTGAACCGCGCAAGGAGCGGTTGGGTGTGCGGCGCCGCACGTCGTGACGTTGAAGCCGAAAACTGGTTTCCGCCGGCAACCGGCAGCGACGACCGTCGCGCCGCAGGCCTCCGAAACGCCAATGTGGTCGTGCCTTTATGCCGACGGCACCGCCGCTCAAGCTAGAAACGGACGCCTAAGAGCAGAGCTCGAAAATGAAAGAAACATCAATCAATTCAGGTTTTAAAATCTGATGATTAAGGTTTTATAGGCAAAAATGCTTATGTGTCTAAGTATTCCTAGTACATATGGAAGAATCCCGGCGATGTTGCCGCGACTTGGCTGGTGCAGTGCCGTCATTCGGTGGTTGCAAAACAGAGCCCTATATAGAACTTCATATATTTTCAGCAATATATTTTGGAAGCTGGCAGAAACGGCAAATGTTGCCGTCAAGTGGCCGTCATGTAGCCGGGATGCAGCAATATCTTTTGGAAGCTGGAAGAAACGGCCAATGTTGCCGTCATGTAGCCAGGATGCAGCAATATCTTTTGAAAGCTGGCAGAAACGGCCAATGTTGCCGTCATGTAGCCGGGATGCAGCAATATCTTTTGTAAGCTGGCAGAAACGGCCAATGTTGCCGTCATGTAGCCGGGATGCCGCAATATTGGTTGGACGCTGGCAGAAACGGCCAATGTTGCCGTCACGTAGCCAGTTTTGTGCCGGCATCCTAAATGCTGGCTCTAGACTGGTCAAGCTGGGCCCATATGGGGCCACCTTAACCATGCTGAGACCAATGTCGGCACAATATCTTGTGCTGCCTGGGGTACGGTGTAACGAGTGCTCCTGAAATTTTACAGATGTTAATAGATGGCCTCCTCAAGAGCATTCGCGGAGCAGTTCCTTACTTTGATGACATTCTCAATGCTGCTGCCGCATAAGGTGAGCTGGCCTCTCGACTTCACAAGGCGCCTCAGCGCTTCAAGGATGCAGGCCTCCGGGTCAAAAAAGAAAAAGGCTGAGGCTGACTTCCTGGGTTTCCGTGTGACTGCTGCCAGCATATTTCCCACAGATGAAAAGGTTGCAGCAATCGACGAGGCACCTCCTCCAAAAACAAGCAAGAGTTACAAGCATTCCTCGGCTTGCTCAATTTCAACCACAGTTTCTTGAAGGGCAAGGTTACAGTTGCGGAGCCCCTCCACCGACTCCAGGACGAGAAGACAGTGTGGACTTCAAGAGGGAGGCAGCAAACAGCATATGATGCACTGAAGAGCCTCCTTTCTTCAAACACAGTTCTGACCAACTTCGACCCAACCAATCCTGTGGTCCTGACATGTGATGCTAGCCCTGTGGACATTGGGGCAGCGCTTAGCCGCAAGCTGGACGACTCCAGGAAGGTGCCCATTGCATTTTACTCACATACTCTATCGTAGGCGGAGCACAACTACGCGCAGATCGATCGCAAGGTGCTGGCCACAGTGTCGAGCGAGAAGAAATTTCACGACCATCTCTATGCTCGCGAGTTTGTGATTGTAACAGATCACAAGCCTCACCTGGGAATCTTTCTGTCTGACAAGTTGACCCCACCCATTCTGGCCCCTCAAATGGTCCATTGTTTTGAATGTCTACAGCTACACACTGGTCCATCAGTTCGGGGGAGGAGGTCGCCAACGCTGATGCACTCAGCAGAGTGCCTTCGCATGCGAATGTCCGTGCTCCACCACCGCTACTAGAGGTCTTCATGCTGGAGATGTCTACGAAGCCTCCTCTGCAGGCCACAGACATCGCTGTTTTGACGTGGCGAGACCCTGTGCTGTCTCGTGTTTTGAGCTGGGCACTGGGGGGTTGGCCTTCGGAGCGTTTGGGCGACGAGTTTTAGGCCTATGAACAGAGACAGCATGGTATCTCGGTGAAAAAGGGGTGTGTTCTTGGGGGTAACAGAGTTGTGATCCCCACTGAAGGCCGAGCTCAGGTACTGGAGGCACTGCATAGCGCGCATCCAGGGATCGTCCGCATGATTGCCCTCAGCCGCAGTTACGTGTGGTGGCCGAAGATGGAATTTGATATTGAACGCAAGATGAACACGTGCGGTGCACGCCAGGCGTAGAGACCAGATCCCCTTCAGGCCCCCGTGCACCGCTGAGAGAGAACGAGGACGCCGTGGTCCCGTCTTCGAATAGACTTTGCTAGCCCTTTTCAGGGGCGCGTTTTCTTCATAGCTGCGGACAATTTCTCCAAGTGGCTGAAGGTGATATCGGCGTCTTCCATGACCAGTGCCACGGTCATCAAGTGCCTGCGTCGCCTTTTTGTAGCTCATGGACTACATGACACTATTTTATCGCACAATGCAGCGCAGTTAGTGTCTGAGGAGTCCAAACAGTTCCTAGCAAGCGGCCTGATTCACCACGCGACATCTGCGCAATTGCATCCAGCCACCAATGGGCAGGCGGAGCACACGGTTAGAACAACTAAGGATGGTTTGAAGCGAATCATCCAGAGCGATTGGTACGGACGCCTAACGAGTTTCCTTCTCCGGTAGCATGTCACTCCATTCACAAGTACGGGAAGGAGCCCTGTAGAGTTGCTCTTCAACCCCCGTCCAAGACACTCCTGGACAGAGTGCACCCAGACGGGGTTCAGAGACTACCACGGACGGACCGTCCACACTGAAGAGCAAGAACCAGCACGCAGTTTTTCGTCCGACGATGCAGTGCATGTGCGGAACTATGCTTCTGGACCACGCTGGGATCCCGCAGTTGTTGCTGAACTGGTAGGGCCACTGTCATACCGGACTAAAACACCGGACGGCCGGCAACTGTGGCGACACACGGACCAAATGTGGTGCCGGTATTTGGATTCTGAGCCTACTGAGCAACCACAGGCCAGCGACTCCTCTAGGCCGCACGACTTACACACCGACACAAGCCGAACAGCCTCCCATTTATAGTTCTCGCCATGTCAGATGGCCAGTTTATCTGAATGACTTCGTCTAAAGTGCCAATGGGGGGGGGGGGGGGGGATTGCTCTTTACCCACCAGCAAGGAGCCGCCCTTGGAGCGACCCTGTGTTCGAGAGTAGTATGTGCGCCATGTTCCTTTGGCGTTGCTACTTCCTGCTGCCGCCTTTTGCACGGCTGCAACATTAAACCACTTCTGGAAACCTCGCGTTCAAGTTCATTGCCCTGCTCTACATCTAAGTAACGGCATGAGCAGGACAAAACGAAACCAATCGGCACTCCAGCGCCAACTCTATAGACCTTCCGCTTATCGCTAAACTTCTGCGACTCTAAAGTTGCAGCATGTTTCACAGGTTATATACAAAATTACACAACAGGGCGCTCTTCAAGAAGATATCGGCTAGTCACTGATACATAACTATAAGCCAAAGACTCCCTGTATGCACATGATAGTTTACCAGGTGTGTAGAATACTGCAATGCTTTATAACATCAGTGACGGGACCGGGAGGGGTTCCTCAGCTGTCATTCAGGGCAGGCAGATATAGGCTCTGATATGCTTGAATACATGGTTTACTAGTTACGAAGTTAAACAGTACCATTACTTATTGGTAATTGCATTGTTCTCGTTTGCATCACTGCCCACAGCACTACAATGGCCATGGCCTAGAGCTATGACAACACACCAAAGGACACAAGACAGCAAGGCACTGGCTGTCCGACGAGATGTACATAATAGGTTCGTCGAAAACTCTGAGAACCCCGACATAGAGCAGTAGGTATGCCTCTCTACCTGCATCTTGCTGATCTGATTAGTGACCTCTTTCGGCTAAGACTGAACTTAGAAAAACAAAGTCGGCACACTTTACAGGTTCTTTTTTTTCTACAGTTTACGTTGAAAATACAAAACTACACACGGAAAGGTGCTTCCACAGAATGTTCAATCTTTGCATTCCTAGGGCTCAAATGCAGTAAATGATACAAAACAAAAAGGTAAACTGAAAGACAAAGAAAGATAATTAAAAAAATTAGTAACACAGACAGTTTCGTCGTTATTGTCCACGATGTGAAGGCCGCTGTCGGGTTGGTCCGGCCTGCCGTCGTCGTGCCTGAGGGAACTGCGCGATCAGGGCATTCCTCACAGCCAGGCCCCTCACGTAGATGTGACGCTCGTGTGGTGCAGCCACAGCAGCTCCGTCCTGCAAGTCACAAGAAAATTGCTGTGTACTAAAATTACAAATTGCATGGTCAAGAAGACATGTTGGTAACAGAGCGACATGGCATCAAGAAACAATCCATTGGACGTGGATTCTTGCCTCAGATGCATAATTACCTTGTGGGGATTAGAAAACACAACTAAGAAAGGCCGCAGTGAGACCTTTCTTAGTCATGTTCACAGGGGGGTGACCTTTCATAGGGAGGTGAGAGTCAGCCTGCAAGGGTGCTGTATCGCCATGACAACATAGGTAGCCCAACGTCGGCTTTAAATAATTGGTACCATGACGACTTCATCCCTCCACCTGGGTGAAAGGTGAGCTAGAACACTAGAAACACCAGTGATGGGAATGATTTGGGTCATTTTGGAACACTGTTTGGAGCAGAAAAAACACTTTTGTACCATAAGCATAATCTGAAATCTTATTCAATCGACTGCAAAATACTATGTTAAGAATCAGGTGTTGGCCTGTCTAAATAAAATACAATGCTTTTGTGGCTCATGTGCCAAAAATTATGACAAGCATGTCATAATAAACACATTCGGTTCCGACCAAGATTCAAAGCTGCTGGTCTTTCCTCACCTGGAACTGCTACACTTTTTTGCCTTTGCCCTTCTGTAGAGCCACTTCCCAGCATAAATAAATTTCAAAAATATATCTTACATGCAGAGACTCACTATGGCACAAAGAAAGCATGTGGAAAATAAATAACACTTTAAAAAGTTCAGCTGAAATTGTTGGTGTTATTCCCAAGCATTCATTTCACTGCCGACTACATCCACAAAAAGGTGGGTGTTAACTAAACGTAAAAAGGGTTTTAACGAAACATAACAATTAAACCTAAAGAGAAGCCCAGCCACGTTTGGTGAATGTGAATGTTCAACCCTTTCCTGATACTCAAGTGCGAAGTATCCTCAACTAAAATTTGAATTTGAAAAAAAGAAAGAAGCATAATTACTACCAGCAATACACGCGACTTGTCAGAATTCTCTGGTTTAGCAGATAAACTAATACCTCAGTTTAATTTAGCAAACTTTACTGTCACATATATGGTGCCAATCAGCACTCACCCAGGCATATTTTTTTTTCAAGTCCACATTTGACTTGCAGTTGAGAACCTGTAAAATAATTGTAACTGAACAGGGACTGACATAAGACTCTTGTCCGCTTACAATGAAGAAGAAGATGAGGGGCAGGGGCTGGCGCGAGGGGAGCCATTAGGTCAGTAAAACGAAGGTTCCCAACGAAGTCCGTTGTCCTGTCTTTCACGAATCGACCTCACAAGGTCACCGACAAAGTCATCAGTCGACGAAATAGAGAGCTTATATGTGCAACATCACCCCTTAAATTTAGGCTGCACTGCAGCGAAGCAAAATTCACGAAATTGCGATGTTCACTTTGCAGGCGTAACCTTTCTGCAGTGCATCAGTAAATGGTGAAAGGTTACTCAATGGAGCTATTTAAACTGCCCAAACACACCACAAACAATGAGCAATGTTCCAAAATTTCTCAGAACCAAGTCACGTTCGGTACGAAGGTCGTATCAAACTACACATTACATTCAGCGATACCCAAAAGTTATGAAAATCCCCACATGCGTAACTTAACAATCTGGCAGTGAAGTGATGCATTAAGATACTTTCTAATTTGATAAAATAAAATGAGCTTTTGGAGCATTGTTAGCACATATTCTTCGCATTAAGCTGAACGTTAGCAGAATGTAGCAAGGTAAACACTTTTGCACAGTTGGGTGCAAATGGTGCAGCAATTTTATCACTGCAACAGGCACCTCTGCATGCATCTTAAAGCTCAAACCATGTCAATATACTGGCAAGAGTAACAGTGAAAGTGACTAGTCTCTATTTAAACAGGGGCGATTTATCAAGATCTGGAATGAAAATGGCGAGCTTCTATTTATGGGCACTTTTCAATGTTCTCAATATGCACTCTATGAAGCCAAATGTGCACTGTGTGATTTGCTTCCAACTAAGATATCTGAATAGGGTGTTATTGATGGGTTCATCAAACGGTCCAGAAGTTATTTGCCAGGGCGCTTAAACGTTACCCATATTTCGGGAGCCTTGTCGTCCCCGCACACCTCCAACTTTTGGAGTCGTTCGAGGATATAATGTTGGTCCTCGTTTGCAGAATATTTTTGCTAATGATAATTTTGATTCTGTTCAGTTCCCTGAATTGTTACAGTATGCTGACGATGTAAATATATATCGCAAGGTTGAAGGAGACTGCATGGAATTGCAGAGGAATATTGGAGCAGTCAATGCGTGGCCTTCAAATAACGGCCTAAGCTGAATTCAAGAAAGACTAACGTCATCAAATTTAGTCTAAAACAGAGTGCATACTTGTCGTTCCATGCACAGCATATCCGAAGTAAACAAAATTTTTGTCATATATGATCCTGGCATGTTATCGGGCTCCAGACTTCGAATGGACTCGCACAATAATGCTATGCTCGCTTCAACACCGCGGATGCTTGGCATGGTTTTTAGAACTACCTGAGAGTTTAAAATACTGTAATCTGTGCTCGTGTTGTATGCTATGTCCACTCAGGTCTGGACTTTGCATCTACTGCCTAGGTTTCAGTTAATTCTTTGAAACCTAATCAACTTTAAAACATCCAGAGAAGTTACATTAGTTTTATGTATGACCGACACCTCGGAAAGAAACGTTAGTATAACCATACCTGGCTACTAGGTGAACTGGGTACGGACACACTTTCGGAAGAAAAAGAACTTAATGGTTTGTAATTTTTGCAAAATCTTTTAAATGACAAAGTGTCATGCCCAAGGCAAGAACTTGCCGTGAGCTTTTCTGTTCGTTATTCATAAGGTGAGTGGAAATGTCTTATGTTGGTAGGTGCTTCAATCTCTTGCCCATCATGCGAACGAGACTCATTTTATAGTGTTTCATTGTCTGTGACTGACATGTCTATGGCCTTGAATAATTTAAAGAAACTTAGTGATGTTAAAGCTCCCATAAAATATGTCGAAGTTTAATTTGTTAATTATATTTGTGAGTGTAGTTTTAGAATCTTAAATATGTTTCACTGTCTGTGTTTTTATGAATGTACTGCGACAGACAATATGAGCTGAAAGTCCTTCACACTTCTTTGTCATGCCTGCCTGTTTTTGACAGAATTATTGTGAAAACCAGGAATGAAATACAAAGTGAAGGTGCTATATTTCAAACTATTTGTCAAAACTGGAGAAAATAGAGCATGTTGGGAGTGCATACGCAGAAAAAAACCAGGTCAGATGTTTCAGCTCATATTGCCCACAGGGCTACCACCAGAAAGGCACGAAGTTGTTGGCGGAATAGTGAACAAACAAACTGTGCAAGAGGCTGCAGTGTTTTGAGAACACTTAATGGTTTGACCCGTGGCGACCCAGGTGGCGGTTCTTGTGGCTCAGGTCCACCGTTGCTTGAACCGCCCTCTACGTCGTCTCCTTCTTCAGCTTCGGGTTCCGGCTCCTCCGCAGCGATGCAAATGTTGTGCAGAACTGCACAGGCTGCAATGATGGTGGCAGCTGTCTGAGGTGGGTGGTACAGGGTCCGGTGCTTGTGGAGGCAACGGAACCTGTTCTTCAACAGGCCGATGCAGCGCTCCACCCCAGATTGCACGGAGGAGTGGGCCACGTTGAACCTCGCTTCCCGAGAGCTTGACTGGAGCGTGCCGGGAACTGGCGTAATCAGCCATGGGGCAAGGCCATAGCCACTGTCTCCTGCATGCCCAACAAGAACGCATGACATCAGACACTAAAATAAATCAAGCATTGTGAAATGAACCTTGGCCACCACTCACAAATGCATATATTAGGGGTGGAAAAACTGCGGCTCGCTTGCCGCATGTGGCTCACCGCGGGTTTAAGTGCGGCTTGCGCCTTTCGGGTGAGTGTGCCCCCTCCCCTCCTGTGTTCCAAAGACGAAACGATTCCTAGAACTTAAAAATAAATGCTCGCAGTCTTGGCAGCCTAGTGCTACACTACGTACATACAGCTGGACTGCTCCTTGACACATTGATGTGTCCAGTGACACTGTTTCCTTTATTGCTCTAGAAAGAATTTCCAACCGAATACGCGTAACGGGTGTCAGGGGCAGTAGCTGGCTAGCAAACCAGCCAAAGCATTCATTTTTGCTTATTGATTTAAGTAACTTTCTGCTGCTTGGTGTTATTTGTTGTAGTCAACGATAATACTTGTTCCCTCCATATTATTTCTTTTTTAAAAGTTGCCTCCGCCCTCCTCTTTTTTTCCTACGGCTCTTCGAACTTTTGTTGTTTTGTCTGTGGCTCTAACCCCATGTCACTCTGGCCACCCCTGGCATATATTCTGGAGAGAACACGCATCTTGCAGGCAGGGGTGAGAAAAGGACCAATCTTCAGAATGTTTCCTTTTTTGCCCGCAGATTCAAATACCTCCATCAACCTGAACCATACATGAACCATGCTATCACTTGCATAAACTGAAGCATACATTAATGGGGCAAAATTTATTTTGGAATATTAAGTAAAGTCTTTACTTCAATTCTATGGCATATGACTTACTGAATGTCCTCCTCACGGAGCCTGTAAGAAGCTGACAGTGGTGGTTTGAACAACTACTAGCAAATGATAAATTCAGACATTTTTGACACAATTATGTTATCTGCACAGCCACTTGAAATGTTATGTTTTTCCTGCATGGGGTCATGTACCAGTGCAAATCCCATTTTATAAGAAAAAATAAGTTTATTTTTTTAGTATGTCTTGTAAAAATTAAGAAAACAATCAATTGGATTGTTTTTTATTAAAAATATGAAGAGTCATACTGATGTACAAGGTACAGTTTAGTCACTATTTGTCCACGTGTGTCCTTGTTGGTTGTTGTGGTAATTATGGCATAAGACAGGAGACGCCAATGAGAAACAGTGCAGTGGCCTCACCATTCACCCCATTGTCAAGTACAGTTATGAAATGCTAGTTTAATTTCCTACCCAGCAGGAATTCCCCAGGCTGAAGGAGGCCGCTTTCAATCGCCCTTCGGAGGGACGACCGCTTCCACACGTAGCCATCATGGGCCCCACCAGGCATACTTGTGTCTATGTACATGATCCGTGCCTTGTAGTCACACACCTGCAGAGGACAGCGACGGAAGTTTGTCACATCAATCGTATGGAATTCCAACACACTGCTGTAATTATTAAAGAGTGAGCAATCCATGGCCAAGCTTCTTCCCCATGGTTAATTTTGTTACACTTGGAGAAAGGACGCATACATTATTTTTATTAGTGCAAGCATTGTCGGTACAAATTAATATTCTACCTCACACTAAATGGCATGTGGTGTAAAGGGTGTTTTCACTGACGTAATTTCGTCCACCATTTTGTTGTTGCGAGCTGTCTGGCGTGTGCCAAACTCGAGCACTCCAAGGATTTGCATGCCCCCTCAAATGCGTACAGCACCGCTGACATCATCTCAACCGGTTACAATGTAATCCTTCAATGTAGTAAATTTGTTTGAAAAAACAAACAACAAAATAGCGAATTGACGTCATGTGCAAACAACCTATTCAGCTGCTGCATGTTTCTGCCTCACACTTCATTTGCTCTACTCTAAATGACTTCATTTTCGTGGGCTCGGTATATTGAAAATTTGGTGAACTGTGGCACCGAGGAATAGTTAGTGGGCATGAAATTTCGGAATTCGGAGTTCTACATATTCGTTATCATAGGGAAACATGTCTACATTATCTATTATTTTTAATATTAATTAAGTCGCGATGTTCGCCAATATTATGTCCATGCAAACATTAAGTCACTTCCAGTACTTGTTGAACAAACTCATTCTCCTAAAATGCATCTCTGAGTTCAACAAGACCGCTTCTGCGCATCATTGTGTGTCAAAGTCTTGAGAAGAAAACAAGCTATAGAATACTCTTTGCATATACTCAAGAACGAATGGTCTTCTTCTTGTATGCTAGTAAAACTACAATTAGAAACATGTTGGCAGACAAATGCAGGAATTTAAATGTACAGTTCTTCTCCAACAGTCACATACAGAATTATCTGAATGTTATCACTGCCACACACCACTGTTACCTCGACTAGTCAGAAGCCCAAATCTAAGGGATACTGTCACTGAAGGCACAAAAGATGCACAGCACAGAATCGTTCACAAGTTTGCCTATTACACAGATGTTTAGAGAAAAATGCTTGTCCGAACATACATTATATTGCTTTCGCGAAGTAGCTTATTCCCAGTGTTCACTGGTCATACTCATAATAGGAGGACATGATCCGACACACAGTGCAAAAGCATTCAAGGCTGTTTTTTACTCACAAACGGGTATTGGCGCGGCGACGACCTCGCCAAACACTTCTGTCGCGCCTCAAGATCATGACTCGATGAACTTTGTTTTGTCTATTTTGCACCTTTTAAATGGAGTAATTGGTCCCTCAATGAATATTTGCTAGCAACTTGACAGATAAAATAAAAGTTAAAAAGGCTATGTCTAGAGTGTCGCCCGACGGCACTCTTGCAGAGCGTTCAAGCGCCCTCCGACGGCATTCCACTCGCGCCTTTAAGTGCCGCCCAAAAGAAAGTCGGACGGCGCGTGTATCACTGAGGAGCGCGCTGTCGGCAGAGGAATTATTACTTGCTACTCAATTCACTGGCGAATCACCGTATACACAGTTCAAAAAGAAATAGGATAGCAAAAGAGAGGAACTGCACAACTTACCACCATAACATTGAGTGCGTAGTGATGCTTTCGGCACCAGTAGGCCGCCTTGGTGACGGTCTCCGTGTCTCGCGGGCCCAGGATCGCGACATGAGTCCCGTCCACGCACCCAACGACGCCGGCAAGCATGCCGTCGGCTCGGGCGAAGCCCTCCTTGGTGGCGGCCTTCCTTTCCGCGTGGAAGTTAATCCAGCCGCTGCCGAGGCACTCCACGATGGCAGCAGCAACAGCTCTGACAGCCCGGCTAACTGTCATCTGGGAGACTGACAGGTGTTCGTCTGCCGCCACCATGCCTTGAAAGCTACCGGTTCCGAAGAACCGGAGCGCGCAGAGAACTTGCTGTTCCACGGTCATCGTAACGCGATTGAACGCCGCGTCCGGAGTCCGGGCGCCGAACGAAGCTCGTCGCAGAGCCAACGCACAACGTTCTTCGATAGCCGGTACTGTCGCCGAAAGTCGTCGTCGGGGAGTTGAAAGGCGTCCCGGTGGTCTCGGTAGCGACGCCAACGGTGGCGGAATATAAGCTCGGCCGCAGCGTACGGCACCGCCATGTTGACAAAGTTTAACTTCCCCTCAATTCGAAGCTAAGTTTTCGAGCTCAAACCACAGCTCTCGCAAAGTTCGGAAACGCCACTTTGACGTCAGCGACAACTTCGACAAACGAGGTTTCGAATCACATTCTTTTTAACACAAACTTTGGAGGGATTTGGAGCGCCACCAGGTCACCTAGGGACAATTTACAAAGCATTAATTTTAACTTGGCGTAGGGATGTAGGGACAAACGGGCGCTACGTCATCGGCGCAGCCGTTCTATCAGGGGGCGCTCCTCGCACGCTCCTCGCGCGCCTCGATAACTTTGCTACATTCTGCCAATCTTGAAGAAACGAGCGTTCAAATGATTGGCACCTCGCTCGGTTTGACGTCAGCGTCGCGAGAGTCCAATTAGCGCGTCCCGCAACTTTCGGGCACAAAGTTTTGCTGCACGAGTTTAGCTACCCTGGGCGTATAACTCACTCGCAGAAACCGCATAAGTGTGGCTTTCATGGTTTTTTTTAAGAACAAATCTGCAAGAATAAAAAAAAAAAAGCACCCTGATATGGGAGGCAGATATACCCCTATTTGGCAGACCCAGATATGGATGCATAAAAAATTGGGCAGATCTGGTTATATAAGGCTTATATAAACTGATGTGCCTGATATGGCCAAATCTGCCCAATTTTTTATATATCCATACTTGTTTTTTTTTATATATATAAGTCCAGATCTGCCATTTTCGTAAGGGGAGCCCCCTTTCTCCTGCCTCGTTCTCCTCCTCGTCCCTCCTCCTCCTCCATCCTCCTCCACTTCTCTCCCTCCTTCCTCCCGCTTGATGCGTTATTGAAGGCGTCCAATAATGCAACGCGCGCGTCACCACGGTGCATTATGGCACGTTTCCCATAATGCACCGCGCGGTTACGCCGACGGCGACGCGTCACACCGACGCTTACGCAGACGCGTTACGGCTACCTTTACGGTCGCCATGGGCGTCGGCGTAACTGTAACCGGTCGGAGTAACGCTTTTTTGTGACACGTCGGCGTCGCCTAACGCGTCGGCGTAACGCCTTTTCGAATCCATCGGCGTCGCGTAACGCGGCGGCGTAATGCTTTTTCGTGACACCTTGGCGTCGCGTAACGCGTCGGAGTAACACATTTTCGTGACGCCTCGGCGTCGCGTAACGATTTCTCGTGACGCGTCGGCGTTCTGTAACACTTTTTCGTGACGCCTCGGCGTCACGTAACGCTTTTTTTGTGACGCGTCACGAAAAACCGTTACGCCGACGGGTTAAGGTTACGCCGTCGGCGACGCTGCTGGAGCCGGAAACGGGCGCCTAAGAGCTCCGCTCTAAGGTGAAAGAAACATCAATGAATTAAGGCTCTAAAGTCTGATGGTTAAGGTTCCATAGGTGAAAATGCTTCTGTGCCTAAATATTGCTAAAGCATGGTAGCAACCCAGCGATGTTGCCACGATTTGGCTGGTGCAGTGCTGTCATTCGGTTTTGCAAAACAGAGCCCGATACATCCTTTAGATATACCAAGGATAGAACTTTATATATTTTGAGCAACATCGTTTAGAAGCTGGCAGAAACGGCAAATGTGTCCGTCATGTTGCCGTCATGTAGCCGCAATGCAGCAATTTTTTGGAATCTGGCAGAAATGGCAAATGTTGCCGTCATGTAGCCAGGATGCCGACATATTGGTTGGACGCCGGCAGAAACGGTCAATGTTGCCGTCATGCAGCCGTCATTAGCCGGGATGCAGCAATATCGTTTGAAAGCTGGCAGAAACGGCAAATGTTGCCGTCATCTCGCCGTCATGTAGCCGCCATGCAGCAATATTTTTGGAAGCTGGCAGAAATGGCAAAGGTTGCCGTCATGTTGCCGGGATCTGAAGATGTGGGGTTCTGCCGGGCACTGTTAGTGTATTAGTAGGGATATGAAGTGAAAGACAAGAGCCAAAGGAAAGAAGGGGAACGGCGTTTCGTCCAAACGGTCTTCTTCAGGTGGAAGGGGAGGTTACATATCAGAATAAGAAAACCGTATATACAAGGGGCATAGGTAACACGTGACAGATGTGACGTTTTGGGGAAAGAGAGGGAAGAGGAAAAGTCGTCAAGTAAGGTGCGAGGTTTGAAGTCACCAAGTTGAGGAATGCGGGTGGGGGGAAGCTTATAGCGCCCGCGTGACCGGCCAAATTATCAAAAAAAAAGGAGAAAGGAGCGGGAGAAAGGGGAATGTTTAATAGCCGAAAGAAAGTTTCTTGTTGAAACCGGAAGGAAATGCCGTCTTTAAGTAAAAAATTAATCTGCTTTCCTCTTTTTTCCGTGAGGTGGGTCTATGGAAACCTGATTTGATGACGCATGTTCGCATCTTAAGTTCAGAGTGATTTGTGGAGAAGTGCTTAGATACGTGCGTGGAGATGTCATGTTTATGTTGGCCCGCTCTTTCTAGTGTGACGAGTCTGCGATGTTCTCTGAAGCGTTCGTGGAGTCGGTGGTCAGTTTCGCCGGCATACAATAAGCTTGGACAGAGTGTGCAGGAAATAATGTATATCAGATTAGAAGATTTACAGGTGTGATTGTCAGGGATTCTCATTAGCACGTTGAGAGCTGGGCCGGTTATTTTGCACGTAATGTATTTAGGGCGCCGCATGGCGTGGTACCGGGAAGTAAAGTTTGAGTTTTTATGGAATGGTTGCTGTGTACTAAAAGGGATCGTAAGTTGGGCTGTCGACGGTAAGTTAGCGCGGGTGCTGTAGAAAGAACTTTGGAGTCTACGAGGTGGGAAGTGGCGCCCATGATTAGTTTGCCGAGCCTAGGTATCGAGGGACGGAACGTGAAGATGAGGGAGTTGCACGGGGGTTTAGACCTTGATTGGGGAAATAGGGCCTCGTGACACAAAATGTTAGAAACGCCACTGCTGGCATTGCGCAGAAGGCCAAGTGGGTAACCAAGTTCAATATAGAAGGTGGTCATAGCCTTAAGCTGATGACGGAAATCAATGTCGTCGCTGCAAATCCTACGGAGGCGGAGAAATGTAAGTCTAGGAAGTTGAAAGAGGTTTTCGAAATCAGTGAGGTGAACTTAAGGGAGGCGTGGGCGTTACAAAGTGCATTGGTGAAGCAGTCAATCACGGGAGGGGGGCCAAAACCAAAAATATCGTCAATATAACGACTATAAGATTGTGGGGGCGGGTGTCAAAAGGAATTAAAAAAACGAGTGCTCGACGTAGCCGACAAAAAGGTTGGCGAACGAGGGACCCATCTTTTTGCCCATCGCTACACCACGTTACTGGCGATAGAATGAGTTCTCTAATCGGGAGGCATTTAGTGTTAGAACAAGTTCGGCGAGGCGGATTACGGCGTGAGACGGAGGGTTTTGAAAAGGACGCTGATCAAGAAAATGTGACAGAGCCTGTAGTCCTTCGGCATGAGGGATTACAGTGTAGAGAGAAGTGATGTCCACTGTGGAAGGATAGTGCCGGGTCAAGGGCCAGGTTAGACAGGCGTTGGAGGATGTCTTAAGTCTTTAACCTAACTGGGCAGGTTTTCTACAATAGGCTGCAGGACCAAACCCACAAAAGCGAAGATGAAGTAAGTGGGGCAGGATATGGCGGACACAATTGTTCAGCCAGGAGATTCTGCTTTGTGAATTTTGGGAAGAAGGTAGATTGAGGCGGTGCAGGGATGACGAACAATTAGGCGATTTGCGGCGGGGGGAAGGGAGTTAGTTTCAATTAGGAGCTCTACGATAGGTGTAATTTTATGTTGGAAAGCGGCGGTGGGGTCGGAGGAAAGAGTTCGTAAAAATCAGAAACGGAGAGCTGTCGGAGAGCTTCCTCAGAGTATAGATCACTACACCAGACTGCGACGGCTCCACCAATATCGGCTACCTTGATTACGATGACAGTGCGGTTTCGAAGGAACTTTAGAGCAGTTATTTCTTGTGGTGTTGGGTTTCGGGATTTGGAGATTAGGTTGCTAGAAGAGTTGGGTAGAATACTACGGCATGCTTTGATTGAATTGTCGGTTTCGGGGTGTTTGCCGGGAGGCAGGGTCCAGACAGTAGTTTACGGGTTACTGAAGTCCAAAATTGTGCGGTTGAAATTGGACGGGTGCTGGGTGAAGTGGGCGTCTAAGAGTAGGCGTCGGAATAATTGTTCGGTCTCCACATGTGAATAAAAAGGTTCAGGTCGGCTTTGAAGTGAAGGGACGAAGGAAAGACCCGTTGATAAGATGGCGCGTTCAGGTTTAGTGAGGGGTAAACCGTCTGGTATGGTGACTAGGAAGCGCGCCTTGCCGACATATTGGTTGGACGGCAGCAGAAACGACAAATGTTGCGTCATGTAGCCGTCATGTAGCCGGGATGCAGCAATATATTTTGGAAGCTGGCAGGAACGGCAAATGTTGCCGTCATGAAGCCGAGATGTCGAGATATTGGTTGGACGCTGGCAGAAACGGAAGATGTTTCCGAAATATAGCCACTTCAGTGCCAGCATCATGAAATGCTCACTCTAGACTGGTTAAGGTAGTACCATATGAGGCCACCTTAACCATGCTGAGACCAATTTTGGCACAATATATTGTGCTGCATGGGAGGTAGGAGGCTCAATTTAGATCCACTGGTAATCACGTTTTTGTTACTTCTTTCGCATTTTTCTTTTGTTTTATTTTGGAGGGGGAGGTGCCGCGACCAT